CGAGCAAAGGCAGGGCCGGGGCGCGGCCTGGCGCCGCCAAAGCTACAGCTGGAGCCCCCCCCCCCCACTCTCCCCTGCGGCGCCCCCGCTGGGTCTTCGGCTGGCTGGCGGCGGCCCCGCTGCCGCGGAAGACGCCCTCCGTAAGTGTGGCTTTCCGCCCCCCTTTTGAGCGCCGCTGGGAAGCGTCGGTGAGCTGCCGATTGAAAAAGTTGACCTCCTGGCAACACAAAACCTGAACGTCTGTTGCCTCGTCCGTTTGAACGAAAGCCTCGTCGTTTCCCCAGCGCGCGCCCTTCCAAAAACCTGCTTATTACATAGTCATGCTTCGAAGGTTACCCGCTCGACGCGCTGGCTGCTGAGGTTGCGCTATCTTCATGTCCAGGGGGCTAGGCGCGGCCCCGGCCCAGGGAGTCTGGCGCGCCAGTCTTGGCTGTGAGGCGCCCCTGGGCCTCCCCGCTGGCTGGCCCGAGGGGTCCTGAGGCCTCGATCTGGGTGTCCTGGCCCAAGCAACGCACGACGCGTTTGAGCCTCCGTCCTTCCCCCCTCGTCCATGTCCTCGATTGGTCCCGCCTGGGCCCCCTCAGCATTGGAGTCGGCCGGGGCCCTCGAAGGCGGCGGGGGCGGCGAGGGCGGCGGGGCTGGCGCACCTTGAATCCCTGGCGCTGCGGCTGGCGACGGTGGCGACGCACTGGTCTCTATGCGCGGGTACTCATTGTTGAGCTTGTCGGCCATCTCATTGATCTGATTCTCGATGTCCTGGCGGACGTCGGCACCCACGGGGATGTTCTGCATGACAAAGTCCTCGAGGGTGGCGGTGGCCAGGTCTGCGGTTGGGACTTGAGATGCTGGATGAAATGCTGCATGGGCTGCTGCACCAATAGCTTGAGCTGCGGCGGCATGACGGAGACCTTGAGTTGACTCCCGAACTACTGGGCATCTGTAAACACGTCTGTGCACTATTGGGGGGTAAATACGTCGGTTCGCTGTACTTGCGAATGTTATTTGGCCACCGTATCGTACTTGAACTCGTGGGTGTTTCTCAATATCATACACATGCCAAGCCACCTTTTCTGCTTGCATGCCAACCTGTGACGCTGTGCGGCGAGCTGGTCGGACAGGCTCTGGGTCTGCTGGTTTGGTGATTTGGTGGCGAGGGCTTGGGTCTTCGCGACTTTCAGCTCCTCCAAGGTTGACTATTGGTGGGCGCCCCCAACGCCATCCACCTTCCGCCACAAGTTGATGACCTGGGGGCAAACATAAACTGGGTTCGCGGCGGCTGGTGCTGCAGGGGGGTCGCCCGGTTGTGGTACCAGCGTTGGCTGAGCGGGCAATTCAATTTTAAACTGGACGTGTCTGGCCCACGTGTTCCTGGAGGTCGAACGGGTGGGCGCTGACTGATGGGTGTTGTGTTATTGCCGGTGGAGCTCGCACTACATGTTCCACAATGTTTGTGCTGTAGGTCCGTGGCCATCCCACGCATGATGGGTACACACACGCCACGTAGCTGCGAGCGGAACCTGGAGCGCGCCCCGGTGGACGAGCAGGCGCAGTAGCGGCACCAGCCAAAGCAGGAGGGCGCGCAGCAGAAGCTGAGCGCCTGGGCTATGGCGGCTGCGGCCGAGACGAATGTAAGAGGTGTGCGAAATGGCGCCCGCGGTGGCCAAGACAGCTCTGCTTCGGCCTCAAGCCTCTGGAGTCGGGACAGGGGGTGCGTTCCGTCTTGAGCCAAAAGACGGCTACGGGGCGAGAGGAAGGGAGGAGGATGGACGACGAGCGAAGGAGTCGCAGGAGATGGGGGGGGAGACGTACCAGAGAACACGCGGCGGACCCACACGGGCGCATCGGGCGACGGACCCTCATGGAGGGGTCGGGCGGGCGGAGCGGGCGGAGCGGGCGGAGCTTGTCGGGCAAGTCGGGCGGCGGACTCATGGGCGGGCCGGTCGGGAGGGCGGGACGGGCGACATGTACGGGCGGGTCGGGCGGGCGGACTCGAACAGGCGGGTCAGGCGGGCGAGGCGTTCTTTCGGACAGGCGGGCTTCCAAAGATACGGCGACGGGCCGGCCCTAGCGGGCAGGCAGGGCGGGCGGACCCTCAGATCTGTCAGCATTCGATCCCTCAATATTGCGCTGCAAACGGCAAGATTCTAAAATTTCCAAAGAAATACCAGAGGTTGTCGCGCGCCTCCTGGGGGTTCTCGCATGCATTTCCACAGGAGGCCTGGGGAACGCGTATGGGAGCCCATACTGCCAACATGGCCTAAAATGATATCAGGGCCAGCCATGGAGCCCTCTTGGGCGCATCTCCTTTCCGCTTTGAAAGCCCGGGGGGGCTGTCCGCAAAGTACACGTGATGTATGATGTTTGCGACCCCAGCTTTTCCGTCTTAAAGCACCCAAGACAGTCCAAGGGGCCCCCGAGATCGCCCCAAGATGGCCCCCCGGGCTCGCAAGAGGGCCGAAGAGACCCCTATGTCCGACGATAGTTATCCCTCAAGAGATACCGAGATTAAGCAGGGACCAACCGTGCCGGCATTCCTATAGCCATACCACGAAATTGTCTTAGAACCCGAACATGTTCTAAGAACAACAGCAATGTTCTTAGAACATAAACCCGATGTGTCAAAACAAAACAATATCCGCCAGAAATGTTCTAAGAACATTTCGTGGAAACCACAACAGGTTCTTAGAACATTGTTTGGTAGGGCTATAGGCGAGCCAGGACGCTTCTCCACTGCTTGACGAGAGACCTCTTAGAGGCCTCTTGTCCACGACACAGCCACGGTGGCGGGATGGGCCGAAAGCCGCTTTATATTACGTAACGGTCCTACTGCCTACCTGGCAGACCCACTGTCTATCATTCCCAAACTTTACACATACGTATTCCATACCACTACACGTGGATCTTTCCACATCACTATCTATCGACCGGCCTCTCTATTCATATCGACTGCCGTGCCGCTGGGCATGAGGCGAGGGCCCTCAAGTCATAGCCCCTAATACTGGCTAAGAATTAAATGCTCGTGCAGGGGCCCAGACTCCAGACACCGGATTTGCCAGGGCTGCTCGCGTGCATCTTGGCGTGTGGGGCGTGACTTTCCCTGAGTCCAGGGAGCCCAAGACAGGCCATAAGAGGGTCCCGAGATGCCGCCAGGACTGTTCAAGAGGCCACGAGACGGCTCAAGAGCTTCACGAGACGGCCCAAGATGGCCCAAGGACCTTCCCAGACGTCCCGAGGAGGCACCAAGAGGACAAACAGGAAAGCCCCAAGAGGCAAACTTTAGTGTTATGATTACCATTGAGCGATTCTACTGATCTCGCATTTTCAAAGTTTCAACCCTCCAGGACGCAAGACGGCAAAATAGACTCTCAAGAGGGCTCCAAGACAACCCAATAGAGCCTCAAGGCGGCCCAGAAGGCCTCCAGAACGGCCCAAGAGGCCCCGAAAGTGCCCCAAAAGGGACCCAAGAGCGGGAACGCGAAGGGGCCTCGGCAACCTCGTTTTCCAAGAAAGCCCCCAGGGACCCCCAGCATGCCCCAAGCCACCTCCAGAAGCGCACGACAGGCCCCCCAAAGGCCCCCGAGAGGCCTCCAAGAGACACCGAGGAGGCCCCAAGGAACCCTTCAAGAGATCCCAGAGAGGCCTGCAAGAGGCACCCCAAGACACCCCGGCAAGCATCCCAAAGGCCTCGGGCCCCAAACCCAGGCGGGACGGGCCGAAAGCGAAGGCGATGAACGAGGCGAGGCACCAACCGTGACAACCGTGGGACAGCAACGTGCCAACAATGGGACAACCACTGGACAACAACGGGGCAAATGCGGGATAACCACGGGGCAACAACCCAACAACCACAAGACAACCACGGGGCAACCACAAAACAGCACCGGGACAACCACGAGATAACCGCGGGACACCCACGAGACAACCGCAGGACAACCTCCTAACAACCAAAGGACACCAATCGGAACAACAATCGGAACAACAGTCGGGACAACCACGGGACAACCGTCGGAGCAACCACGGGACAATCGCAGGACAACTACGAGACAACCACGGGACAAATATCTGGACAACAGTCAGGACAACCACGGGACAACCGAATGACAACCACCTAACAATCACGAGGCAACGATCGGGACAACGATGGGACAACAATCGGGACAACGACGGGACAACCGTCGGGACAACCACGGGACAACCGCAAGACAACCACATACACCCACGGGACAACTATCGGGACAGTCGGGACAACCACGGGACAACCGTCGGGGCAATCCACGGGACAACCGCAGGACAACAATCGGGGACAACTACGGGACAACCATGGGGACAACCTTGGTGGGCCTGGCGCGCACACGAGTGCATAGCAATCTGACGTGCGCCACCCCTTGCTAGGGTGGGATCGGGATCTCTCTCACGCCCTCGCGCAGCTTCTCCTCGCCCGCACGAACGCAGCGAACAACACGATATCGGATTTACACGACTGGGTAATCCGATTCGCTTGGTTCCAATCCAATCGGCTTCCAACTCGTCGTAGTCTTCCTCCGCCTCTCCCTCCTCCTCCCCCTCCCCCTCCCCCTCCTCCCCTCCTCCTCCTCCTCCTCCTCCTCCTCCTCCTCCTCCTCCTCCTCCTCCTCCTCCTCCTCCTCCCCCCATCCTCATCCTCAATCCTCCCCTCTCATGCTACTGCTCCTTCTCCTCCTCACAGTCTCACAGAATCCGAGGAAGTCTTCCACTCTGGGAGGAATCCGAAGACATCTCCAAAAGGACATGGCCGTCCAGCGAACCACCCTGGGCCCCGAGGCCCCTACGCACGGCTCCTGCGAGTGCCTTGGACCCCTGGGGTCCACACAAAAGCCTCCAGGAACGAAAGCCGAGTCTGCCGCCCCCCCCCCCATGTCAGGACTCGGGCTCTGGCACCCACAGCTCCCGCCGTCACGACCACCGAGATTGGTGCCGTTGCCCTCTGGGATTTCGGCGGCCATTTCCGTTCCGCCAGTGGCCGGCTCTTTCTGCACGCCCTCCATGGCGTAGTGGGAGATGAGGCTCAGCGCCGCGCTGGAGCCCATGGTCCACGCCATGGTCTCGCGGCACCCCCCGCCCGAGAAGCCAGGCAGGCCGAGGATCGCCCCCGAGAAGAGGCCGGCGAAGGCGCCGTTCCTGGGGAGGCCAAACCGTACCCATACCACTGTGTGCTCCCCGGACCTCTCCTGGGGTGCGCTCTGACCAAGACCTCGGGGCGAACCCAGCGGTGGCGACGACGGAGGCCCAGGAGGCCCAAAAAGGGGGGAAACGGGCGAGGGGGTCGAGGTATGGGTACCTTTTCCTCCTCCGGGCTCCACGGGAACCCCATGCCGCCGCGCGTGAGCACGCACGAGGCGAACGAGGTCAGGAAGCACCAGCTGCCCGCCAGGAGCGCTGGCCGCAGCGGCGCGCCCAGGCGGGCCAGAGCGCCGGCCTCCGGCTGCGCGAAGACCAGCCCGAAGACGCCCCCCGCCAGCGCCCCGCGGTAGAAGGACTCCTGGGGGGGAGCGGCGAGGAATACTCCCCAAAGACCCAGCGCATTGAGAAAATCAAGACGGAGGTCTGTCGCCGTTTTCGGCCTCTAGAGGCCCTCGCCAGGCCTCGGGAACGTGGAAAAAACGACTCAGGACGAAAAGCAGGTCCTGGGGAATGGGTCGAGACTTCCGGGGACCCCACATTCAAATAATCACGACATAGGATCTCTGGGTCTGTGTCCCTCACTAGTTCTGGGCCCCCGGACTACAGGTACCCCCCGGACTACATGTACCCCTCCCCGAACTACGGGTACCCCTCCCCCGGGCTACAGGGACCGCCCCCTGGACTACAGGTACCCCCCCCCCTGGACTGCAGGTACCCCCCCCAGGACTACAGGTACCCACACAGGACCACATCCACGTGTGCGTTGACGCGTGGAACACGCGTTCCCCCCCAGACTGCAGGTACCCCTCCCGGACTACAGGTACCCTCCCCCCGGACTACAGGTACCCCCCCTCCCGGAACTACAGATACCCCTCCCCCGGACTCTACAGGTAACCTCCCCAGACGACGTGTACCCCCAGAACTATGGAGGGACATCGGGTAGCGCCGCGGAGACTGTCCCCTTGTAACGCTTCGCTCGAGGGGTCCACCGGGGGGGGGGGCCAGTGCGGGCAGGGAGGGCGGGCGCGACCGGCCAGGCCGACGGGCTCGAGGGCCGACGGGGGTCGTGAGGGGACCCGCGCGGTGCCATGCGCAGAGCGCTCGCCGATCCCGCCCCCTGTCTGGCTGTTCGGCCTCTGGGGGCACGTGGTCGGGCCTCGGGGCCACCAGGCAGGCGCCCGGGACGGGCGCCGGGAGGCGCCCGTGTATCGAGGAATGGGCCCGGCGGCGGGGCCAAAACCAGCTGCATGCAGCGGAGTTCGTAACCCCCCCTTTCCCCATCCCCCCTTTTTTCGCTCGGCCCGATCATATAGCGCTGCGCTGGAGGGGGTCCACTGGAGGCTATAGAAGCAGGCTTCGCCCGGGACTTCCGCACAAGTTTACTCCTATAGGGTCGGCCTCCACCTCCGTGCCGGCGCCATGTCTGGCACGGGCGGCCACGGTCCCTGGCCGCAAGCACATGCTGAGGTGTGCGCATGGCCGTGCCCTCGCCCCTGCCACACCCTGAAACATTCCTACAGGAATAATGCGGGATGGCGATGAATAAAAAGCAGGGGGAACGATTAAAAACATAGTTTTGACTGATTTCTCTGATTCTTTCAGCTGAAGGAGGACGATTAAAAAATGCTGTTTTCACAAAATCGAACCGCCATTCGCCGACCGCCTGCTCCTCCCGCCTCTTCACCCTCGCTGCGATCAGACTGCATCATTCCTGGCCGCGGTCGTTGCCTAGGGGTAGCAGTCGTTACCAAGGGGGGGGGGCGGGGGGGACGGGGGACGGTAACGCTCTTGGGCGGGGCGGGGCACGTCGGGAGCATGGCCGGGGGTCCAGGGCTGGGAACACTCTTTACGTCGCAGCGCGGCAGAGGCAGTCCGCGAGCGCGCTCAGGCGGTCCGGGCAACGGAAAGCGCAAATTAACCGGCGGCAGGGGGAGGAAAAGACAGGCGAAAGCGGTCGTGAGTTCAGAGGGGGGAGAGAGGGGAGGGCTCTCACGATGTTGATGTTGTTGCTCCCCTAGTTCTAGCTTTGCCTCTGGGACTAGGGGAACAAACAGCGACAGAAACATGGTAAATCAGAGGTCCGCGCGAAGTTCTCGGATCGGCGCGCACTTTCGAGCTGTTATGTTTATGTCACTACCTGTTCCCTTAGGACCCCCCTAATTCCATACGATTGTTACCGCGACCCGGGGGGGTATGGCCCAGGCTAGCCCGGGTAACGACCCCAGACCCCCGACGTCTTGGTTTCGTGACGTGGCCCCGAAGAGCCTGGACCCCTTCCCGGGGACCGGTTTCTCGTCCTGAGTCGTTTTTTGACAGTCCCGAGGCCTGGCGAGGGCCGCTGGAGGCCGAAAACAACGAAAATCCTTCCGCCACCATTTTTTCATGACCCGAGGTGGTCTAGAGAGTCTGGGACCACGCCAGTACCGCGGCCCCAGGCTGCCTCTCCGGGCCCCTCCCGGGGGTGCGCTCCAGAGCAGGATCCACTCGCGCTTCCCAGTCGTGGCGGCGAGGGTCCCATAGCAGGACTAGAGAGGAGACGCCAAGGGGAGAGCATCGGGAAACAAATCGGTGCGCTGTGCTCTCAGGAGGCGGAGGCCTTCGTAAGAATGAGCAAGGGCTACCAAGCCCGATTAAGGGGCCACTGAGCCGGATGAGGTCGGATCAAGCCCGGGATGAGGCCGACGTGGACTCACTCGGATAATGCAAGACTGAGCTGGTTCTCTCTCGACCCGACCACGATACTGAGTTTACCCTCCCAAGAATTGCGTCCTCATCCACTGAGATCCGCCGTTGCGAAAAAAAATGCGACATCGCGAAAAGTCACGACTGAAGCCCTACAGACCATATCTTTCTGGGGCATTTCTCGAGCCGGATCGATCTGCGATGGCCCTGGGGCCCCGAACCAGGCAAAGCCGCGCAGCGTGAAAACACCCAGATCTCGGGAGCCCCCCCCCGCAACTGAGGGGCAACGATTGGGGGGACCAGCTCGGGGGGACGAGCGGGACGACGAGGAGGAGGAGGGGGAGGAGGAGGATGAGGAGGAGGAGGAGGAGGAGGAGGAGGGGGAGGAGGGGGAGGAGGAGGAGGAGGAGGAGGAGGAGAGGGGGAGGGGGGAACATCGACCCGGAACCGGCGATACATCGCCGACAGGTCGGCGACGTGCCCCCGATGGCGAATCCGCACGCTCCTGCAGGGCGGGGCGGGGCTACCGTGGCGGTTGGGGGGCCGATGCGTTCCCCCACCGGCGGCCATCCTGATGAGCGTGTTTTCCACCACCACCACCATAAGTTGGAGGGGGGGGTCCTCCTCCTCCTCCTCCTCCCTCCTCCTCCTCCTCCTCCTCCTCCTCCTCCTCTCCCCTTCGCCCCATCCAACTTATGGTGGTGGTGGTGGAAAAACGCGCTCATCACATCCCCCCCCGATCGTTGCCCCTCAGCAAGCCCCCCCCCCCCCCCCCTCCTGGGGAGACCAAAAGCTACCGATACCGCCACTCCCTGGACCTCTCCCGGGGTGCGGTCTGGCCAGGACTTCGGGGGCGAATCCGGCGGTGGCGACGATAGGGCCGCCGAGAAGGCCCCCCCAGAAGGGAAAACGGGCGCATGCTAGCGGTCTGGGTACCTGCCCCTCCCCTCCCCTGACCCTAGAGGAAGCAAACAGCGCCATGAACAGAAACTGTTGGCGCTCCGCGCGGATTTCTGGGATCTGCGCTGGCGCGCGGAGCGCGCCAGGGGCGGCGCCGGAGGCGCCGCCAGCGCGGATCCAAGACATCCGCACGGAGCGCCAACACTCTCTGTCTACGCCGGTTTTCCTTTGCTCGAGACCCCCACCGAAGTCCACGCTGCTGCTCACGCAGGAGACATCCGGAGGCGGCCTGGTCCACATGCGCCCAGCTCGCCCGCCCGCCCCAGGGCGCGGAGCTGCCGGCTCACGGCGCGCCCATCCGCGGCCACGGCGGGGGCGGCGCTGCCCCGTGCGGGGACAGGGGGTCTCGGGCGTTGCTCGTTGCAGGGTTAGGTCGGGCGCGTCCTCCTACAGGTGGCTTCTGAACGGAAGAGAAAAGATAGTCTCAAGCTAATCACAAGAATCTTCCGAAATACTAAAGATGTAATCCCGAGACTAAGTTTGTACGATCTTTGAATCCGCCGGTCCCCCTGCGGGGCCACCAGGCTGCGATGGTGAGGATTAGCTCCCTGTTCCAGGCGAAGCTTCCAGTTTCCACTGTTACAGTCCTGCTTTCTTTTCCTTTCTGTTAATTGTTCCTGAACGCGCGAGGGGGGGGAGCCGAAACGCGTCCTGGCTAGCGTCCCCGAATCGCGTTGTCTGAATCCTGGGGGGCCGTAGGACATGTAGAATCTAGAAATACATAAGATTCGCGTCCCCGAGAGCACAATCCTTAGTAAATTACACCATGTCCGCGTCCCCGGGGCCATAAGCTTTAGTAAATTACGCAATGCTCGCGTCCCTGACGCCATACCTTTGTAAATTACAAAATAGTTGCGTCCCCGAAACCACAAACCCTTCTCACGATGTTCGCGCCCCCGAAACCATAAACCCATGTAAATGTTCGCGCCCCCGAAACCATAAACATTCATCAAATTATGCAGGTTCGCGTCCCCAGGGCCATACACTTTAACTTACACCATACTTGCGTCCCCGAGGCAACAAACCCTTGCAACTTACACACTATTTGCGCCCCCGAGGCCACAAACCCTAGTAAATTACTCCATGCTCGCGTCCCCGAAACCATCAACCATCGTCAATTATGCGATATTCGCGCCCCCGATACCATAAACCCATCTAAAGTACGGAATGCTCGCGCCCACGAAACCATAAACCTTTGAGAATTATGCAATATTCGTGCCCCCAAAGCCATAAACCTGCATACATTAGACCGCACTTGCGTCCCCGAAACTACAAACCCTTGCCAATTACACCATGTTCGTGTTCCCGAGGCCATACACCCTTGTAAATGACACGATATCTGCGTCTCCGAGGCCACAACCCCTTGTAAAGTATACAATGTTTGCGTCCCCGAGGCCACAAACCTTTGAAAATTATACAAGACTCGCGTCCCCGAAGCCATACACCATGGCAAACTACTTAAGATTCGCGCCACCGAAGCCACAAACCCTTGTAAATCAATATTGGCCCTTGCGTGAAGTCCCGACGTTGCCTCACGTCAGCGTCCAGACATCCCGACGCAGCTCTGGCGAGTCCCATTCTAAGGGAGGGGGGCCGGCGGCATGGGGGCGAAGCCCTTACGGATATTCCTTCTGTAGAGGGACACGGCCGACTTAAATGTAGGGAGCCGAACTCTATACACCGACGCTTTGTTCCAACCCTGCGCTGAGACTTGCACAGCACAGCGGATCCTGCTGTATACGGGACCCTGGTGTATACGTTTGTTCATCGTTCCCTCGGGAAGACGGACCCACAAAAAGTATACACCAAACTACCCCGATGTCGCCCCCGACCCTCAATTTGGACGCCCGAAATGGGTACCGAAAAAATGGGTACTATGCCCAACAGCAAATGTTGTCCCAAACCAGCAGCGGCCGCTGTTGGACAGGCGGCCCTCTGCCTCGAATGGACACAGGCCGCGGCGGCGTGGACGGCGAGTCCTGCTCAGAATGAACAAGAGCTGCTGCTGGGCATCGTACCCATTCTTTCAGTACCCCTTTCGGGCGTGCAGACTCAAGAAGCCCTGGGATTTTTCATGACGTCGACCCCCAGCGGTCTGGACCCTTTCCCCGGGACGGGTTCTTCGTCCTGAGTCGTTTTTTGACGGTCCCGAGGGCCGGTAGGGGCCCCCAGAGGCCAAAAATCATGAAAAACCTCCCGTCGTGATTTTTTCATAACTCGAGGGGGTCTGGGTACTCCGATGTCGCCCCCGACCCTCAAGAAGCCCTGGGATCGAGAAACAGCCCGCCACTGGTCATGTCGATGTCCCAGCTCCCGGCCACGGGGGGGGGCGGCGAGCGTCGTGGCTCCTGCCGCCCACCAGCTCCGGCGCCCGTGCATTCGGCATAGCCTTTCGGACACGCTCTTGGCTTTGGCTTTCCATGCCAGGCGTGCCGATTCGCCGTCCAGGCGGGGCTTCCAGGCGCCCCCAAAGTCGAATCGACAAGTCGGATCGGCGATCGAAATGAGTCGGATCGGCGGAAATCGGCAGCCGAGTCGGGAGAAGTCGAATCGGCGGAAATCGGCAGGCTAGTGTGCCTCCAATAAGAAATCGGAGCCCAGATCGGAATCCGAAGTCGAATCGAATCGGAATCGGAAACCATCGAAATCGAATCGAATCGAATCGGAGGAATCGAAACGAGCCCTGGGCTTCTTGTCTTGTCTTGATCAAGCGGGGAGTGGGGAAGAGCGTGCATTTTCCCAGCCCAGACCCCCGACGTCGTGACTTTTTCGCGACGTGCCACCCAGGAGTCCAGGAGCCCTTCTCGGGGCCGGTGTTTCATCCTGAGTCAAATCCCTGTCACAGGGGGTGCTTTGTTCCCTGTCACAGGGGGGGCCGCATTCCCTGACACAAGGGGGGCCCCATTCCCTGATACAAGGCGGGGCCAATTCCCTGACACAGGAGGGCCCAGACGTGTCACAACAACAACAACAAGTCAAGCTGTCTGAACAGCTGTCGCAAGAAAAACTCTCTCATGTCATACGCACCACCCTCTCGCATCACAAGAACGACTCGTCCTTGTCCTACAAGCGCCTCTCGCGCATTCGCAAGAACAGACAACCTTTCAGTCCCGAGGTCCGGCGAGGGCCCCCGGAGGCCGAAAATAGCGACACACCTCCCGTCACGATTTTTCACGACGCGAGGGGTCTTCGGGGGCGGCCACGAGGGGGGCGTCCAAGAGGGGGGGCGCAAATCATGACCGGCGGCATGTGCGCGGCCCAGCGGGGGGGCCGGGGACGTATAATGGAACAAGAAGCGGCGCCATGAAATCTGTGGAAATAGCATGGCCCCCGCCATGAGATCCCCTCCCCCTGGTCGTCACCCCCCCTCTTTGCCTCCCCCGAGGTCTGGGAGAACAGCTCCCCGGGCATGCCGAGCACGCGACCCTCCCGCGCCCCCCTTTGGGGCCCACGGGGGGCCCCTTTCGGGCCCCCTTCAGGGCACAAAAGGTGCACCTCTCTTCGCCCCCCCCAGGGCGCCCCCCCAGTGCGCCTCCCCAGTACGAAGGGAGGGATGCAGGGAGGGGGCAAGAGGGGAGGAGGAGGGGGAGGGGGAGGGGGAGGGGGAGGAGGAGGAGGAGGAGGAGGAGGAGGAGGAGGAGGAGGAGGAGGAGGAGGAGGAGGAGGATGGACGGAAATGAAAAGGAGGAGAAGGAGGAGAAGGAGGAGGAGGAAAAGTGATCCAGAGTATCGCCCCCCCCAGTACGCAACGCCCGAAAGGAACACGCGCGCCAGTGCCTCCGGCGCCGCGCCGGGGCTGGCGGAGCGGCTCGGCTGAGCGGCCCTAGCGCCGCTCTCCCTCCTCGACTGCCTCCTCCGCTGCACGAGATCCCGGCGCCGCGATGTTTTGCCGCCACCAGGGATTCCGTTTCGGTTAGGAGTCAACTGCTGGGAGGTCTTCGTCGAAAAGGTTAAAAAGGATTAAGCCCCATTTGGAAGCTACTACGCCGGAGTGGGCCTCGGATTAAGCGGGATTAAGCCATATTGAGCAAGATTAAGCTGGATTAAGCGGGATTAGGCGGGATTAAGCCGGATTAAGGACCAGTGCAACATCGGAATTTGACCTCCCAGGAATTGCATCCCAATTTCGGGTCCCGGGAGAGGCTCCCAAGAGGCTCCAAGATTCGTCCCCAGAGGCCCCCGAGAGACGTCCGAAGAACCGCAAGAACCATCCCCGAGGACTCTGGCCCACGTCAGCGCCGTCGTCGTCGTCGTCGCCGTCTCCCTTCAGGGTCGGCGGAGGCGGAGGAGGAGGAGGAGATCCCCAAGCAAACAATTAATTATCCTGGCGAAGGACCCAACCATATGAAGTTGTGGGTACCGCAATTGTGAATATCTTCTTCGGTGAAGCTCCCTATAGGGCCACGATTCGCTGCGCTGGGCGGGGGGGGAACGCATGCGGGCGGCAGCACTGGGGCCGTCGGCAAAGCTCCCTATGAGGCCACGGAACGCTGCACTGGGTGGGTGAAAATACCAAATTAGGCGTGTGGGACGCATGCGGGCGGTCCCATTGGAGGCTTCTGTGGAGCTCCCCATGGGGCCGCGAAGCGTTGTAAAGGGTGGGCGAAACTGCCAAATTGGGTGTGGGGGACGCATGCGGGCGGCGCTTCGGTGGGGTTCCCTATGGGGCCACGAAGCGCTGTTCTGGGTCGGTGAAAATGCCAAATTGGGTGTGGGGGACGCATGCGGGCGGTCCCACTGGAGGCTTCGGTGAAGCTCCATGTGGGGGACGCATGCGGGCGGTCCCACTGGGGGCTTCGGTGGAGCTCCCCATGGGGCCACGAAGCGCTGTTCTGGGCGGGTGAAAATGCCAAATTGTGCATGTTGCACGCACGCATGCGGGCGGTCCCACTGGGGGCTTCGGTGGAGCTCCCTATGGGGCCACGGAGCGCTGTACTGGGTGGGTGACGATGCCAAATCGGGTGTGGGGGACGCATGCGGACGGTTCCACTGGGGGCTTCGGTGGGGCTCCCTATGGGGCCGCGAAGCGCTGTACTGGGTGGGTGAAGATGCCAAGTTGGGTGTGGGGGACGCATGTCGGCGGTCCCACTGTGGGCTTCGGTGGGGCTCCCTATTGGACCACGAAACGCTGTACTGGGTGTGTGGGGGACGCATGTGGGAGGTACCACTGGAGGCTTCGGTGGAGCTCCCTATGGGGCCACGAAACGCTGTACTGGGTGGGTGAAGATGGGGGACGCATGCGGGCGGTCCCACTGGTGGTTTCGGTGGAGCTCAAGAGGGGCCACGAAGCGCTGTGCTGGGTGGGTGACAGTGCCACGTTGGGTGTGGGGACGCATGCGGGCGGTCCCACTGGGGGCTTCGGGCTCCCTATTCGGCCACGAAGCGCTGTACAGGGTGGGTGAATATGCCAAGTTGGATGTGGGGGACGCATGTGGGCGGTACCAGTGGGGGCTTCGGTGGGGCTCCCTATGGGGTCATAAAGCGCTGTACTGGGTGGGCGAAAATGCCAAATTGGGCGTGGGGGGACGCATGCGGGCGGTCCCACTGGGGGCTTCGGTGGAGCTCCCTATGGGGCCACGGAGCGCTGTACTGGGTGGGTGACAAGAAGGAGGAGGAGGAGGAGATGAGGAGGAACGCGGGGCGACGTCTCTTCAAAACGAGGACCCAACACCACAGGACGGTTGGGACAAAAATGCCACCAAGGCTGGACCCGATCGCACCAAGCATCCCACAGGTCGCAGGAGGCCACCAGGTCTGGGCCCGATCGCATCCTGTACGCCACAGCGGGTCACAGAATGCCACGTGGCCAACGCTCCAGCGAGTCGGGCGCGCGACAACGGGTCACAAAAGAGCCACGATTGAAATTACCGTGGCAACAGGTTGATACCCCGCTGAGAGGTTTGAGACGGCATGCGAACGGATAAATGTCTTAGCGCTGCAGAGTGGGTTAGCCACTTGAGACACCCTAAGACCGTTTGAGTCCAAGTTGGACCGTAACTGGGACTCACCTAGCGCGTCTGCGGTGCAGCACGTTGGGCATGTGGAAACAGAGTGAGCGATCACATTTTCATCGCACCACAGAACGAGTCACAAGGTCTGACAATGATTCGATACTTCGTGGGCTTCGCCCGTATGCACGAGTCTGGAAATGGTACTTCGATATTGCTTGGATCTGGAAATGTGTCCCAAGCCATGCAGGATGTTGATCGACTGCTCGGCCCGCGTCCCATCGGTAAGTGTGCACTACATGATGTGTATGCTTGTTCGTTTTGCCGATACAAAATAATATTCAAGATCGGCATCTTGGAAAACAACTAGTTCGTTTCCGTTTTCTTGCCCCGTCATGAGCATCAAAGACCCCCCGTGTCGCTCAGCACTCATCATTACTCATCCCGTCTCGATTTTTCGCCTAGATGTTCTTACTCCTCTTTCTCCTCCTTCCCTCCTCCTCCTCGTCGAAGTGTCACTTCGCTTCGAACTTCCTCTCATGCCACGTTCGATCCACAACTGCTAACGGGCACAGGGCAAGCCTCGCTCCAGGCCTCGGGATCATCTGAACTCCAACCTCGATGCTAAATACAACGAGGCCGGAATGCCTAACGGGATGGGTGAGGGGGGCAAGTGAAGCCCGAGACACCCCCAATGGAAGAAAGAGGGACGAGGAGACAGCAAGGGGAAGGTAGAGGGAGAGCAGAAGAGAGAAACTGGAGGAAACTAGGACTCTACGAAAGCCCCTCCCCCCCGAGAGGGGGCTCCCCAAATCCTGCATTCGGCCACCGACCTCATTCCTTCCCCTCCTCTTCCTAATCCCTCATCCCTCACTCTTTCAACCCTCCCTGGTTCCTGGAGACGTTAGGGGCCTCGCAAACAGGGTCCGAGTAGATGGGGTCGGTGGATCGCGCCGCATCTGCGATGCGGCGCGATCCGCCGACCCCATCTGTTCGGACCCCACCTGGGAGGCCCGAGACATTCGGAACGACCAACTCGTAGCATGAGGCAACGGATGCTGAGAGAAACGGGTCCTGGAGCACGGCGCCTTCCGGAGAAAAACATCTTTTATCCTGCATCGTTTTTCTGACAGTCCCGGGGCCCGTGAAGGCCCCGAGAGCCCGAGAACCGGGGAAAATCTCAGGATCCGCTTCCCTCGGCTACGGGTAAGAGTGACTCTAGGCAAGAGTGACCTCTAGTGCGCGGCCAAGGGGGGTGCCTGTGGGGACAGCACCAGGCGCGCAAGCCGCTGCTATCGCATCGCATTCAGCGATCGGGGGCACTCCAGCGAAAGGTCACTCTTACGTGTAGCCCATTCTCTCAGGACACGTTTCCCCCGTGGCGACTCGCCTGCCAGGCCACCCACCCCGCTTCCCTCCGCCAGGGTCCTCCTCCACCAGGACCTCCTGGCAGGAAGCCGCAGTGTGTCCCTGGCCTCGGCTGCCGCGCGCTGGCCCGAGGCAGGGAAAGGAGAAGGAGGAGGGCTCTCTGCTCTTCCTCCTCCTGCTCCTCCTGCTCCTCCTCCTCCTCCTCCTGGTCCTCCTCCTCCTGGTCCCCCTCATCCTCCTCCTCCTCCTCCTCGACCTCCTCCTCCTCCTGGTTCTCCTCCTTCTCCTCCTCCTCCTCCTCCTCCTCCTCGTCATCCTTCTCCGCCTTCTCCTCCTCCTGCTCCTCCTCCTCCTGGTCCTCCGTGTGGTTATCCTGCTGGTCCTCTGCCTGGTTCCCCTGTTTCTCCTCCTCTCCTCCTCCTTCTCCTCCTCCTCCTCCTCCTCCTCCTCTTCCTCCTTCTCCTTCTCCTTCTCCCTCCCCTCCTCCTCCTCCTCCTCCTCCTCCTCCTCCTCATTATCATCATCATCCTTATCCTCGTCCTCCTCCTTCTGGTCCTCCTCCTGCTCCTCCTGGTCCTCCTGATCCTCTTCCTGATCCTCATCCTGGTGCTCCTGCTCCTCCTGTCCTTGTCCTCCTCCTCCTCCTCCTCCTCCTCCTCCTCATCCTACTGGTCCTCCTCCTCCTCCTTCTCGTCTTCTTCCTCCTGGTCCTCCTCCTGCTCCTCCTGGTTCCTCCTGATCCTCTTCCTGATCCTCATCCTGGTCTCCTGCTCCTCCTGTCCTTGTCCTCCTCCTCCTCCTCCTCCTCCTCCTCATCATCCTCATCCTACTGGTCCTCCTCCTCCTCCTCCTCGTCTTCCCTCCTCCTGGCCCTCCTCCTCCTCCTCCTCCTCCTCCTCCTCCTCCTGGTCTTCCTCCTCCTCATCCTCTTCCCCCTCCTGCTCCTAGTCCTCCTCCTGTTCTCCTGCAGGTCCTCCTCCTGGTTCCCCGTTCCTCCTCTCCTCCATATCCCTTCCTCCTCCTCCTCCTCCCCTCCGCCTCCTCCTCCTCCTCCTGCGCCTGGTCCTCCTCCTCCTCCTGGTCCTCCTCCTACTCTCCAAATCCTGTCCTCCTCCTCCTCCTCCTCCTCCTCCTCCTCCTCTCCTCCTCCTCCTCCGGTCATCCTCCTCCTCCTTTCTCCTGTCCCTCCTCCTGCTCCTCGTCCTCCTCCTCCTCGTCCTCCTGGTCCTCCTCCTCCCTGCCTCCTCCTGGTCCTCCTCCTGGTCCTCCTCCTGGTTCTCCTCCTGGTCCTCCTGCTGCTTCTCCTGTTCCTCCCCTGTCCTCCTCCTCCTCCTCCTCCCCCTCCTCCTCTTCCTCCTCCTCCTCCTCCTCCTCCTCCTCCTCCTCCTCCTCCCCCTCCTCCTCCCTCCACCTCCTCCTCCTCCTCTCCTCCTTCCCTCCCTCCCTTCCCTCCCTCCCTCCTCCCTCCCTCCCTCCCTCCGCCCCCCTCCCTCCCTCCCTCCCCTCCCCCTCCCTCCCTCCCTCCCTCCCCCCTCCTCCCTCCCCCTCCCTCCCTCCCTCCCTCCTCCTTTTATCATTCGTCCATACCTCGATGCGACTTTCGCGCATCACCGCCGTCGTTGGGTGGCAACACAGCACCGACACGGACACCGCTGCCACCCAGACTTCTCCCGCGGGGTGGGTTCGGAGCAGACCTGCGAGGCGAATCCAGAGGACGAGCAGCGGCATCGGTATCTTCGAGCAGGAGAATGGTGCTGGGCGGCTCCACCGCCAGGCCAAGCCTGGCCTGGACGCCCCGCGCCGGGCGGTGTGCGCGGGCAGGGACGGTACGCTGGAAGAGCATACGTGCCACCAGCCGTGAGCCCCGTGGGGAAACTCCAGGCAATGTGGGGGCCGGCAGACAGCTGTCGCATTTGCGTTCGGCACCGGTGGGCCTTGCATCGGGCCCGAGGAGCATCCAAAACGAATCCTGGGCGAAAGCCCGACCCAGGGAAGGGGTCTCGTGACCTCTTGGGCGCCGATTGAAAAGATACATCGGGTGGAAGCCGACGACGAGGATCGGAGGTTCAAATATGGGGCCCTGAGTGATAGGGGCCATGAGGATAGGAAGTGAATCACACTTTGAACCTATACTGTTTGAGGTCCGTTCCTTGGGGCTACATCCCTCAGGGCCCAACCTTTGAAGCGCCGAGAATATGGGGAAGGCTCAACCGTGTCGTGCATGGCCCACTGTCACCCATGCGGATGATGCAGCACCCTCTAGGCGGAGGCTCTCAGCAAGACACGTGTGGATTGCAGCCATACCCGTGCATCTGCTGGTGATGCTGACCCGCATAGGCTGGAGACGCACAGAGGCCAATCGTCCAGCTCCCGTCAGAGAGTCCTCGAAGGGGCGCACTCCTGGAAGAGCAGGTGGGCCGATGGCATCGCTCCAGCTGAGGATGCTGGAGGGCCTGGTGACAAAATCCTGAGCCCGCCCCTCGAGAGCCTCAGGGGACCCCACAAGACGGCGAGAAGGAACAGGGCAGGTCCATCGGATATTACACGCTCCGTGGGGGTGCAGTGAGGGTCCTCCATCGGATGTTGGAACTTGAAGAGGCTTCATCCATCGCGTCGCGATGCGCGCATGTGGAGGAGGGAGAGGGAGTGGAGAGGAGGAGAACGAGGATGTCGATGACGAGGAGGGTGAGGGTGTTGGCATTTAGCGACGTATGGTATCGCAATGCATGGAAAGGCTCACACATCGTGACCGACAGCCCGAGCGGATATGATAGGAGAGGGGAGATAGGGCAGGAGAGGGGAGTGGAGGGTAGAACAAGTATCTAGAAGCGGTCGGGCTACACACCGCAAATCCTGCTTGCGAAGCCATCCCAGATCATCATCGGCGCAAGCCCGGGGTGATCCACGAGGGCGCCGATCAGCGTGTCAAACCGTCCCTGCCTGCGCTGGCCACGCTGAGCTCCCACTTCACAAAAACCGAGACCGATCTTGATCTGCGGGCCGACGAGCAATAGCGAAGAAGCAAAAAGGTACCGATACCGCCACTCCCTGGACCTCTCCCGGGGTGCGTTCTGACCGGAATTCCGAGGCGAATCCAGCGGTGGTGACGAGGGCCTCCGAGGAGGCCCCCAAAAAGGGGAAAGCGACGAAAGCGCAGCGGTAGGGGGTGCCATTTCCTCCCCCGAGCATCCGCAGGCGCTGTGGCGGGGGCTATTTTCTGGCCGGGCCCGCGGGGCTTCGTCGCTCGGACCGGCCGGGCTGCCCTGGCTGCTGCCGCAGGAGGCTCACTGACGTTCTCCCGCGTGGCCCGTCGAATCACGAGCCCGTTGCCCGCTCTTCCCGCGTGTCCGGCGCGCTGCGACCCGCTGGCTGGAATCGGGCCTTGACGGACGCGGGGAGATGGCGGAGCAGCCGCGTCAATTCGGTGGCAACTCGTGGGAGCCTCCCATACCATCTTGTCGGCTCTTGCGAACCGACGCTAGTCGACGCTAAATCGACGCTAAATCGACGCCAATCGACGCTAACCGACGATAGATCGGCGCTACCTCGTCGACTCCCTAGCGTTCATCGGCGCGAGTCGACGCTAAGGACAGAATTCAGAGGATGTACCAGGCTCCCATGATTTGCTACGTAGAGGTGGCGGAGCAGCCGCGTTTCTTCCTTTCAACACTCCGCCCTCGTTCTAACCCCCGTCTGCGCAGGCGCCGACTACCGTGAACAGATAGACTCATCTTCCTCTGGCATCGCGTCGTCTGGCACGTTCCCAAAAACCAACATGATCTCGTCGTCGCACACGCGTGTCTGAGACCTCATCCAGCGTCTTCCTTGCCACGCTCAGGGACAATGAAACCTACTAGCTGCGTGAAGACCCCACGGATACGG